AAAGAAGACCTCAGTAATACATGACTTGAAGGAAGCAGTCAGGAAACATTTCACCAGAAGATGACAATTAAACTGAGTCTTGAAAAACAACTAGGAGTTTTCCAGGAAGACAAGAAGGGAAAAATATATAGAAGAGGAATAATTTACTTTGAATTCCAATTTGCATCTCCTTTTCCATGTAATGGCATCATTTTTAAGGCAGATGGTGTATAACTTTGCTCCAGAGTTAAGAATTCTCTTTCCTGAAAACTCCAGGGATAATTCTGATTGGTTCTGCTTGGACCATGTGTCCATCTCTGAAACAATGACCATGGCCAGGCAGGTAGTGTATTCTGATTGGCTGCCCTGGGTCATGTGCCCACTCCTGGGATCTCGTTTTTTGTGTGTGTGGAGGGGGCTTCAGAGCCCCTACTCTGTGTAATCTTCCCCAGTAGATCATCAGTTAGGGGAGGCAAAGACAGTAACTCTTCTCTTTTTGACCTATCAGGGTTTGCAAGTTCCTTTGGAAGAAGAGAATTACAGACCTATTGAGACTGGAAGGAGCACTTAGCACAGGACCACAGGATGATTGATTCCTTAGTACAGCTTAGCATCCTGGTGCCAAAGTGGGTGCTTCACAAAGATTTATTGTATGAATAGAGTGGACCATCACAAACCACATGCTGACTGAATGACTCCACCATTGTCTAACCACTGATTTGGAGGGGATCCCTTGGGACTATCCCATGGATCCAAGTTCACCTTACCTTGGGAGCAGATGGAACCAGACCCCAGGTGCTCTGCCATGCATCTCCCTCGGGGGATCCGGGCATCCCACAGATCTTACCTCATAGGAGCTACTGTAGAAGCAATTGCAGGAAGAGGCATTGATGCAGCGTTGTTGTCGTTAAGCAAAAAGCCAGGACTGCAGACACTACCCTGCCAGCAGACAGTCCTGCAGCTGGGCCTGAGGCTCTCACAGGATGCAAGGCAAACACAGGATTCATATGGGGGACAACTAACCAATCGGAAAACACAACCTCCATCAAGCTTTCGCTCTGCAGCTTTTCTCTGAGATCTTTCCTGCCTCTCCTCTACACAACCAAACTGAAGTTCTTCTCTAAGAATTAGGCCCATATTATTCAATCATAAGAAGGAGTGAAGTTCTGATGCATGCTACAACACGGATGACCTTGAAAACATACTTAGTGAAAGAAGCCACACACAAAGGCCCATATATTTTGTAATTTCATTTGTATAAAATGTCTAGAACAGGCAACAAACAAAAGAGTTGAGTATTGTATAAGGGAAGTTTGAGATTCTTATTGCCATTCAGGTGAGGATGTGGAGCAGGTTGCTCAACAGGTTGCTTGATAAGTGTCGGGAGTTCAGAAGAAATAACCAGTCCAGAGACATAAATTTGGGAGTCATTAGCAAATAATTGGAATTTTAAAGCATGAGACTAGATTAGACTCCATGGGCCTGATAAATAATTGATAGGTAATAAACAAATATACAAAATCTCTTCTGCTATAACACATTATCTATAACAAATAGTATGTATGTAATTGGAAATAGGGGAAGAATGTCAATAAAATGTGGACGTTGTGTGGAAGTAGAATTATAACCTTCAGCATGAAAGGAAAAAATCCCTCAATTTGGCTGCTGCACAGTCAAAAGCCCTTTTAGCCTTTTTTTTTTTTTTTTTTTAAATTAAAAGTGAGGTTCTACACCCAGGGCTTCCTCCCCAAGGAAGCAGACCCTCAGCCTTGCATGATTCTTGCCTCAGGCGGAGTGTACTTCTTCCTGTGCCCACCTTAACAGCAGTCTTTCTGTCTTAGACTTCCACTTCCATCTGCATTGTCTCAGCTCTCTCAAGTAGAATTTCCTCTCTATTGGTTTCTTGTATGTTTAATATCTACTGAGGTGGCCTCTAGCCATAACAAGCTGTGTGTCTGAGCTGTGCACAAGTCATCACGTGGTATATTATTTTTAAAAAAATTGTTAATGCTCTGCTTATAAAGGTGCATAAGTTTTGAATGATCTGCCCTAACTCTTATGCCTTGTTAGTTTTAGTGTGTGATTTTGGAAAATGAGAGATTTTTCAGAGTCAGGTATATCATTTTATGTCAGAAATGCTTGTATACATATAATTGACATGCTACTTTTGTTCTCATCTTTCCTGGCAGGAACTGAAAGGTATTTATATTTATGTTTCTCTCTCCAAAAAAGAAAAAAAAAAAAGAACAAAAACCCAGGAGTGGGCACATGACCCAGGCCAACCAATCAGAATATACTACCTACCTGGCCATGGTAATTGTTTCAGGGATGGACACATGATCCAAGTAGAACCAAGAATTGTCCCTGGAACTATCAGGGAAGAGAACTGTTTTAACTCTGGAACAATGTTACACACCATCTGCCTTAATAATGATGCAAGGGAAAAGAGACCCAAATTAAAATCCAAAGTAAATTACTCATCTTGTATACATTTCTCCCTTCTTGTCTTCCTGGAAGACTCCTAGTTGTTTTTCAAGACTCAGTTCAATTGCCATCTTCTGGTAAAATGTTTCCTGACCACCTCCTGCCTCCTCCATGAAGTACCTTGTGCTTCCTTCTTATTCCCACAGCACCTTGTACACATTTCTCTTACAGCATTGTTGTGTAACTTTGTTCTATTATCTGCTCTTCTCCTTCCCCCACCCCTTGGTCTGTGGCATTCTTGATGGTAGTCACATTGCCTTATTTATTTCTATAAACCTAGGACCTAACACAATGTCTGGTACGCATTAGGTGCACAGTAAATGTGAGTTGAGTGAATTAATGAAGACATGGTTCTGGTAATACATGGTTGATTGCTTTGCGCGAGAAGACACATTGTCTTGGATGCACACGCGCACACGCACACACACACACTTACTCTCTGGAGAATGTAAGATTTTTGATAGGTAAGAATTTTGATCCAACCTTAAAACAAACAAACAAAAAAGGTGTGTGTGTCTGTGTGTGTGGGCGGGGGGGGACAGTTCCTGCAAGGTAGGGCTTGAGGAAAGGCACTTCATTAAAATTAAACTTGAAAACATCATTCTTAGTGAAAGAAGCCACACACAAAGGCCCATATATTTTATAATTCCATTTGTATAAACTGTCTAGAACAGGCAACAAATAAAAGAGTTGAGTATTGTATAAGGGAAATATTGTATAAGGGAAGTTTGAAAATAGGGCATCGGAAGAGAAAGCAGAGTAGGGGGACTTTAGAAAAAGAGAACAAATAAAATTGGAAATGAAACGCTGCCTTATAAAATTAGAAAACAGAGGTAGAAAAACTGAAGGCTGGTATTATTCAGGGAAGTAGATGTAGACAAGGAAGAAAAGTAAAGGGAAAGAAATGGGAAAAGATGAAAAGAGGTGGGAGCCAGAGACAGGGGGAGGAAGGTCCTGGATACTAGACTTCTGAGCTTTCAATAAAGCTTTATTTTCCACTATGTGTTAGGCCATGTGCTGGATTACTAATACATTGAAATGAGTAACTTATAGTCCCTATGTGTCCAATTGTGGGGGAGATCTCAGTTTATAATGGTAGAAGAAAGCAATGGGATGATAAGAAAGGGCGTGTGTTAGGGGATATTGCCCACTTTTTGAAATTGGACCCCCATCCTTTACCAGAGTTACAAGAAGTCTGACAGCTGAAATGCTGTCCTCAAGTTGAGAAAATGACCCACCCCTTCCCTATTCTTGTTTCTTTCTCTCTGAACTCTATAATCCCTCACCTTTGCCAGGGATAAAGGAACTCTTTTTATACATTTTCTTCTTCCCCCCAGTTTTGACATGGTGAAGGCAGGACTGAGGGTTCATCACCCCACCCCTCCTCCTAGCAGAACAAGATGACCTTTACCAGAACACACAAGGTCGTGAGACAGAATTCCCATGCCATGTTTGCTGAAGCTATTAACCCTTCTATAACCTGGCACCCCAGGACACCTTGACTGTCCCAACGAAGCACTGCCACCAAACCCAGTTTGGGTGGAGTCTTGGCTTTTCTTATTCCATGTCAGATTAGAGAGGTGACCCTTGGCACCAGGGTCCCATCATTCCCCACAGTACTTTTCCAAGACCCAGAGGGGATATGAGAGAGGAGGGACTTGCAGACTCCTCCACAAGGAATGGGGCTCCTAGGAGATGAGATGGGAGTAACTTGTGCCTTGGCTGTGGTGAGCAGTAAGGGTACTCCTGGTATAGGTACAAACTGTGGGAAGTTTGGGCATCGCCGTATCCACCTTGCAGGCGGATGTGTCAGATGGGCCACGGGTGTGTGTGTGGCGGGGGGTGCGGGAGGGTGACAGTTCCTGCAAGGTAGGGTCGGAGGAAAGGAAAGACCTATGGAAAAGGATACACCTGGGATCTTGAGGAGCCAGCTGCACCTGTTTCTGGGCTGAGAGGCTTCCGGAGCCACCACAAGGTGGAGACCAAGGATGGCGGGGGTGGGGTCTTTTCAGACCGGTTGTAAGTCCTGGGGCTGGTTGTACCTCCTGAAGCCCGTTTGGCACAGCCTGCAGGAGGGACTTTGCAAAGCCGCGTCCGGGTAGTATATGAAAGGTGTGTTGAGCTCAAATGGTCAGCCCGGGGTCAGGGGGTTCTGGGGTGGCGGGGAGCCGAGAAGAGTGAGATCCACGAAGGAGGCTCTCACCCCTTGGCAGCGGGCGGCTGCCTTGAGGGGCGGGCTGCGCCTAGCGCGACTCTGGCGCCGCCGCCTGGGGGCAGCCGGCTGTGAGCCCCGTGGACAGGGGCGCCTGGAGACCGCCTCTCATGAGGCACTAGGTCCTGGTACTTGCTGGGGGTGGGGAGGGAGAGGGGCGCACAGCGCCCAGAGGCGGAAGCCAAGCGCGTGAGTCACTCTGTTCCCCTGGGTTAGGAGCGGGACTTTGCCTCCCGCCTGGGGTCTGCATTTCAGCTCCAGCTTCAGCGACTCATCCCAGCAGGCTGACCCCCTCCAGAGGCTGGACCAGCTGCTTCTCAGTCTAGGTGAGGTCCAGGCAAGTTTCTCGTCTTCTGATGCTTACTGTTTGGGGGACTCGCGGGGAGGGGGTCTTCCAGTCTGTGTCTGTCTGCCTTTGCTTCCTCCCTCTGGCTCTCTCCATTGGAGACAGAAAGTTAGATTTAAAAAACGCAACAGAGAATATAAAATCTATGCTCAGACCGCAGATAAACAAAACTCTGGGGCCATATTCTTAATTTCCCAAGTACCTTCACATGTCCGAATGCGGCGTTTATGGAGCTAGGAATGTTTTGTTTGTTTCGTGTATTTCCCTCCTCCCCCACTTTCCTCCGGTGTAATTCTTAGAGGTGGGGACAGGAGAGTCAGAGGGCTTAGCTGGGATCCTTTGCCAGAGTGGCTTCTTCATTCTCTGCGAGGTGGCAGATGTTTTACTGTAGCCTGAGTTGCGATCTTGGAACAACCCTCTCCAGCCCAGGACATGCCAGCGCTTAAGGTAACTGCAGTTGTTGCATATCTATCTCGCTATCATTGACTGAATCAAAATGTTCCGGAGGCACAATTAATGTGAATGCCACAATGTTGAAACATTCATTGAAGGACACTATTGAATGTTTTATTTTTTAACGTATTGTATTCCAGGAAAATTTTAGAAGACTATTGCTGGTTTTATTTTCTCTATTTTCAGATATGCTCCAAAGCCTATTATTCCCTTGCAAGACAACCAGTGAGGACCTGTTCTGTTTCTTATAAGGATTTAACAGTGCAAAACTACGTGTTAGTTTCTCCTCTAAGGTTAGGGAGTTCCTTCTATTAACCACTTTTAGAAAAACATTTTGGTAGTGTGGTGGAGGGGGGGAGATATTTCCCCCTTCTCTATCACTAAATGCAAAATGTTTCTGTGACTATTAAGTAAATACTAATTATTGTCAGTTTTGCTTAAAAGGAGCAGAGGAGAGCATCTCCTGGAATGCATGAATTTGTGGTTCATGTTGATGATTGATTGCTTTACCATCAAATTGTTTGGTTTGATGCAATGTTAACAGGTGGTCTTAATTCACAACACGGAAGTATTCTATTCTAGAAAACAACCCTGTTGATATGCACACCACCGCCCCCCCACCCCCAACATGCACACACGAAACCATGTTTTTGTCTTGCTTTGTGGGAGAGAAAAATGGATGGGGGAATCTTTTCTGGCAGTTGATTAATCCCTGATCTTTCTTGAATTGCCATTTGTTTTATAACCTATAATTATAGAAAAGACCCCTCCTTGAAATAAAATTAATAAAACCTTACATGTTTAGTCAGATCACTGGAATAATTTTTTAGAGTTGAATGGAAGCTTCCATGATCCTCTTCCAATGTCCTCCCCAGGGAGCTGTTAAGCTTCCCACTTCTCTGATAACATAACTC